TAATTTAATCAACGTAAGAATATCACATTTTTCAGTGTTATATTCTTTCATTATAAATTAAATATAGAAGAAATATTTACTATTATATAATAATTTTGAAGAATCATATATTTTATACTTACTGTATTCTCCGTACTAAAATTTCTAAATTCTTCATAGTATTTATTTCCCAAAGCAGTCACCTTTTTATAATATGTGGTATGGTAACCAACAAAATCAAGTGATGCTTTACCAGCTCAACTTCGTTGTATTTAAAATTTTTTTTTTATGAAACGCTAATTTCAATGAGCAATTTTTAAAAGTTTCATCGTTAAAATCAATCAAAGAATAAACAACGATACGTAGCAACACGTGTTCTCAATATTTTAGGTTATTAACCACTCCAAAATAATGTTGAGTATTTACTAATGTATCGCTATCCTTCTCTGTTGCATGAACAAATGGCATGTGACTCTCTTTCATCTGGCTGTCACGTCGCGCGCAGCTGCAATGTTGCGTCATCTTCTATTGCACGAGATATTTAGCTCGGACCTCTTTGTCACAAGTTTCCACTCGCATAAAATTTTCACCTTTCAAAACTCGACAACCGTCATTCAGGCCAAATTTTTTACAGACAACCCCATATCATCGTGTTCGCAATTAAATAGCGCTTATTTTGATATAAGATTTATTTATTAAACAAATAGGTGAAAATATCTAGTATCAATTTACCTGTTTATACCTGCCAACTCAGTAGTTACGCCAGGAAAAAAAATAGACAACGCAATATTCTATAGGCTTCATACTTTCGGTTGGTATTAAGTTTATTCGTTAAACTCATGAGTGCAATATGTAATAAAAAGTCATTTTTCAATTTTTAATTAATCATACTCCGGCCAGAAATTTTTTAGCCAACCCACTCGAGATATATATTTTGATATTTTAAATTTGATAGAAAATACTTTTCATCCATTAAACAGATGGGTGGTCGTTTCTAGTGCGGATCATCTACTAGTATAACAGATTTTCAATACTATTTTATCGTAACAATTATTCGCAATGACCTCCATTCGCTTCAATACATTTTCTGATACGTGAAACAATATCGTTTTTTTTTTTTAATAATTTTATGTAAAGCGAACTGCTTTGTAAATTATTTTTGTTTTAGTCACTCTCATAGTGATCATTGTTTTAAAAATATACTTGATTGTTAAAAAATATATAAATAAATGCAGAAAAATAAATAAATGTAGTTACTTACAGCTGTTCCCAAACGAGAGAACAAACAACAGACAACCCAATTTAGACAACATTTCGAGATGGACTATGCTTAGACGGAAATCTGACAGATATATATCTGTCTACCACTTATGTTGTTTATCAGAATCACGAGGGTAGAACTGGCGTGATCGGAGTGAAATAGTGGAGGTGAACGCTAGCTAAGACTTGATCTATCAGCCACTGTTGCCAGGTGTAACGGTGTCTTGCATGTTAAAGATTCCTGGAATGTTAACGCTGATTGAATGATTGACATTTGGCAACTAAAGGCAATAAAAAAATATTGAATTTCAATAATGACACTGTATTTCTGAGCTTTGAATTATTTCGAAAGAGATATAATAAGAGTATCAACTTAAATCGTGCTTCGTGCTGACCAAATATTCATTTCAGAGATTAAGGAATGGAAAAATCATAAACGCTCTGATCACTTCTGAACGGACGCCATTTGTCGTTTTAGGTCTATTCGCTTATTTCTGCCGATAAAAATGTATGTATCCTTCGAAAACTGGTCAGTTGCCTGTATCTCTATCTAATCCTGTTGTTTGAACTTTCAAGCTCAAATATTAGAATAGCGTAACCATAATTAAAAATTAGGTACTCTATAGAAAAATACTATGCCCAACGAAATCTCAGTTTTGTTACCATTGCTTTTAGCAGTTTCACAAATTTCACGTTGTTTTGAAATAAATTAGGGAGATAATAAGTACCTATACAAGTGGATATAATCTCATACTTAAAAGACTATCTATAAGTATTTTTAATGTATGGCATTTCCGATACAGCATTGGATAAGTAGATCAGTGATCACTAAACTATTTTGATTTAATAACAATATTGTGACATTATCAATTATGTACTTGCTATAAATTGATCTGCGGTAATCTACTCAAAAAGTTCAAGGTAGAAATAAATTTTAAATAATAATCATCGTATATACTACAAATGGTTTTGTTTCCCAAAATGCTACTTTTTGTTCTGTTTTTACAATCAAACCAATCTTAATTAACATAACAATGAACTAAATAATTATAGTAACATGATATAAGCACACTTATTTGTCTATTACTTATCCTCCGTTTTATGGCCAATTCTAAGTGACTGAACTATTTGTGATAGCCAATCTCTCTAATTGTTTTCTACAAGATGCGTGTATTACAAGAAATTGCCACAAAATTATATTTCTAGGCGAAGCACTTGAGTCATATTTGTATAAAAATAGTCTTGGTAAAGCAAATAAGCAATTGATAACTATTTTTTTTTGGATCAAGTGAAAAGATACGGGTGTTTTCGAGAGCTCCAAGATGTTTCTACTCGAGATAAAGCAGTTTTTTCTAGTTCGATGGTTATCTTGTATTAACACATATAGGAAAAATTCAACTTAAGTTATAGAAGGAGAGACAGAGACACCTGTTCTCAGTTTCGCTTGACTGACCACAGTACGTTTGTGTACACAACTACTGTAATCAACTATAAAAAAACTAGGCCCAGTAAATTCTTACAATTTTATAAAATTATTAGTGATATCTTGTTTTAATTATTTTCATAAATAAGAAACTTATAGATTCTGAATGTTTAGGATTCTTGCAAACCTCTGTGATGTCAAGCGACACCATAGCACTATAGGATGCCATCGGTGCAGAAGTGCATTCATACGTATAGTTTTTCCGAAGTCAATTGAAGAACCAATATCTTCAAGGTATGTACCAGGCTCGATCGCTAAGCAGCAACTCGGCATTGAAATATTTGAAAAACTTGTTCCCACATTTATTTAGCCATACCCATATACAGATCTGGTCGAAAAGTGCAGGTGGTAGAAATGTATACGCTCAGTTGAAGAATGAGCGTGCGAGCAAAGAGCAATGCGCACTGCTTCTCTGGTCCATTGCGTTGTCAAAATTCAGTTGTCGACTAGTCGTCTAGCAGTGCAGTGCGGGAATGCGGAATTTGGTGTGATTCAGATAATTTTAATTTATTATAGGCACCCTTCTATTAATCATTCATATTACAATTGCGAAAGGGAGAAATAAGAGGGATATTTGGTTCACTAATATTATTACAACATGGCATTTTGGAGACCTTTTGAAATGGAACAAAACGAAATTTACCTTCAATATAATAAAATTGTATGAGGACATAAATAATTCAAATACGTTGTTGGTCAAATGAACAAGTAATATACATTTTCTACACATTATACAGGGTGAAACAGTCATAATGTCATTAATTTTAACCACGTAATGTCACGAACAGTTGTCGGATGAAGCGAACAGAGTTGCCAAGTTCACATTTACTGAGAAGAGATTAATAAGAAAAACTTCAAACAATTTACGCAGGTACACTTTTCCTGTCAGAAAAGCAAAATTCATCTTTAAATTCGGCGAAATTATTTCCTTTCAGATTTTCTCCGACAGGTATTTTGCTACCGGTGCAGAACTTTCAGCTAAACTGCAAGCGAAAGTAAACAAATCTCCTGTATATTTTTACATATAAAAAAATTGGAAATATATGCGTCATGAAAAATGGAGTCAATATCGTAAAAATTTGTAAAATCCTTACATGTAGTTTCCGAGAAAAAAATATTGATGTTGTATTTATAACCCTTACATCGTTGGGCTACTGCACTCTGACGTCATTCGCGTTGTGCGCTGTACGCATTGCGCTCTCTCCACGTGGTTCCAGGCGATTCCGAATACTGCAATGTGTGTGAATATAGAAATATGGAAAACATACAGGGTGTTCCATTAAAAAAAAACGACTTATGAAGGTTTGAGGTTAACTAAACTCGGCATTAAATTTCTAGCACCCTGTATGCTATTAAGCCACTTTGAAAGTATGGATGGGTAGCTTAGGGGTCTAGCTATCCCCCCTATAAATATTGTTGCTTTATCTTTCTTACTATAAAATACACATGGTTTGAAGCCAGTCACTGTTTCTCTCCATTTTAAAAAAAAAATTAAATATCTCGAAAACGGTTAATTTTAGGAATAGGGAAACACCATAAAAGTCCACCTAAAATAACACGTAGAATCCAAAATTGCAATAATATATAGGGTGTTCCATTTAAAATAAGCCAGTTGATGGCGACTTCCGGTATAACCGGAAGTGGTACGTGGACGGCATAAATATTTTGCTTCCTGGGAATTTACAAGCCATATAAATTATACTTTGATTTATCCGAGATTATCCCAAATAAATGTATTTAGCAAATGAGATTAGAATAAGTAGGCTGTAAACTTAAATTAGTTGTTTATTAGGGTACATAAGCACAAACCGAGTAGGCAATGACCCGGATAAATGTTAATTAGGATAGGGCAATAAAAGCAGGTACCTGAGGATAAGGATAAAAACCGAAAACATTTCGAGGCACGAACCAGAAGTCTTGAGGCCTAACTCCTGTTCGGTTGTGTCCCGTGTTACCAGCGAAATTAGTAGAATAAAGTTTTCCATGCTACTTAAAAATAAAACGAAATAATTTTTACTAAATATACAGTTTTATTTGATGCTAAATTTACAAATCGTTTTAATCACATACACTTACATCGCTAAGATATTTGCTAAGTTTTAAATCACAATTTGGTCTATAAAAAAAGCGACAGCTCCGTTCTACAAGACCCACAAAAGCAACAAAGGTGAGTAATTCTATTTTTTTAGAAAATATTTTTCTATTTCTCATAGAAAAGAGCCGTACGTCGAAATCTCTTGAGCAGATCTATGGCAGTAAATCGGCGATATACACGGGGTGGCCACGAAAGTTACGCTACCGAAATATCCCAGTTGTCGTCGAAGGTACCTCCGAATTTTTGAAACGTTGTTGAAATAACTGGAATCTACGATAGCAGTTCTCCCGGCGGCGATACGCCCTGTATAAAGGTCTTTATTGTGAATGTGGAAGAGTAAACATTTAGAAATTGTCCGTTTTAGTCCGTTTATCACAACAATTCTCTTAAGGTTCTATCTTACAGCACAGAAATATTAATGTCGAACGACATTAACGTTAGGAATCAAGTGGTTCTCGATTCGAAAATCGAACAACACGGAAATTATTAAAGGATATAAAATATGGTCTTTCACTTAAATTATGTCATAAATGCGTGGTAAATGCAATAAATAATTGGTACAATTCTTAGTTTGGCTGTTACGGTAGCGGTAGTTATTTTTTCAAAAAAAAAAAACACCTAAATCGGTCGACGAACTATCCATCTTGTCTTTTTCTAATTCCAAACATACAAAAACTCGTTCAAAACATTTTTTCGTCCGGATTTAACAGGTAGATAGGCAACCATAAAAGCAACCGCTTGTATCGCTGGTTGCCTGTCCTTCAAAATTCTTCTCCATTCGTTTCCACCACTGATCCGTAATAGAATATGGATCGTCTTTACTGCTTAGCCAAATTGTCGGTGCCCAGATGTTGATTCTATGCGTTTCAAAACAAATACAAACGAGATAGTTTGCTTTATCTGCAAGGAAGATTAATGACAGTTTCCTATATCTCATAACAATCAAAGTGAAATAAGTAACTAGAACATCACGCTTGTACTGTTGGTTGCCTACATTCCATTACGATCACAATTAAATAACGTATTTAGGCAACCAGAACGCCAAACTTATTTACTAGTTGCCTACATCTCAAAATTAAATTTTAAACATACAAAAATAAAAATAATTCCAGAGAGACTAACCAAATCGAATAAAACTTCCTTTTATCTTAAAAGTGGGAGTCGCAACGCCTCCCAACTTAATTCGGTGTGGCGACCGAACTCCAATTTTTCATAAAACTTCAGTTTTAAATTTCCTACAACCCTTTCATCCTCTCGAGTACACAACAAAAATTTTCGGCGCCCAACAACAAAAAAAAAAATCACAGACGAGAACCCATCGAACCGCCGCCGCTACCTGAACAAGTCCCTGTGCCTCAGATAAACCGACTGCAGCCTTCCCACCGACCCCAACGTACTCGCCCTGGTCCCCACGCACATGCTCTTCTGTTCGATGTCGAGGTGGTCGTCGCACCTCACCGAGTGGAACACGTGGACGAGATCGGGATCGACGCTCCTCGCTATCCTCAGCCCCGACTTGACCGCGTTATCGTAGAACGTCACGTCCTCGTAGCCCCACCCGGAGATCATCAGATTGAAGCCTCCGAGGGCGAGGTAGTCGGACTTGTAGAGACCGACGATGCCGAAACCGAACTGCCGCCAGAAGCCCGTCTCTTCGTCGATGCAATCCGATGTGAACGCCTCGTGATCCGCGTCCGTGTAAGACTTGTTCGACAGAGCGGGGTCGTACAGGCTGTACACTATGGGGAAGTAAATCGCCCTGCCCCGTGCCGCGTTCCTGCGCACCCGCTCCAGGCTCTTCCTGTCGAAGACCATGTCCACGTCGATGAACAGCAGAAGTTCCTCGTCCGACAGGGCGTTCACGCCGAGTTGCAACGCTTTGCCTCTGGCGAAAGTATCGTTCGAGCGTATTACTCTAATCTCGCTATCGTCGTATTTCCGGCTGACGTCCTCGAGGAGCCTGGCGGTTTTCTCGAAGTCCGTCGGACTGTCGTCGTTTCGGTACAGGACGACGTACAGGCGGGAGTATTCCTTCTCCTTGAGGCAGACGTCCTCGTACGTCCGGAGGAACCTGCGGAAGGTGTCGAACCGTCCGCTCAGGGGGAGGACGAAGTTGACGTAGGTCTTCCTGGTGGCGTTGGGGAGGTTCAGGATCGGCTGGAGGTTCTCGCTCAGCTTGGAGAAGAGCTGGTGGACCAGCTTCTTGTGGACGGGCAGCGGCTCGGTGCTGGGGGGGTACTGGGACGCCGCGGGGTACTCGTGGTTGTCCACTTCCTTCACGAAGATCCCTGCAAGGAATAAAACAAATGAATAAAACAAATAAATAAAACAAATAAATAAAATAAACAAATAAAATAAATGAATAAAATAAACAAATAAAATAAATTAATAAAATAAATAAATAAAATATAAGAATAAAATAAACAAATAGAATAAATGAATAAAATAAATACATAAATAAATGAAATGAATAAATAAAATAAACAAATAGAAAAAATGAATATAATAAATAAATAAAATAAACGAATAAAATAAACAAATAGAACGAATGAATAAAATAAACAAATAGAATAAATGAATAAAATAAATAATTAAAATAAACGAAGAAAATAAACAAACAGAATGAATGAATAAAATAAAAAATGAATAAAATAAATAAACGAATGAAATGAATAAATAAAATACATAATAAATGAACAAAATAAATAAATAAAATAAACAAATAGAAAAAATGAATAAATTGAATAAATAAAATAAACAAACAGAATGAATGAATAAAATAAACAAATCGGATAAATGAATTAAAAAAAATAAATTAATAAAATAAATAAATGAATGAATGAAATAAATAAAACAAAGAAATAGAATAAATGAATAAAATAAATAAAATAAATTAATAATACAAATAAAATATAATAGAGGTTTTGGGTACCTGTGAAGGTCTGCTGGATGTAGGCGTGCCTCCTCACTTGTACCGTCATCTTGTGGCCCCTGTACTTCTTGTAGACCAGCAGCATGTCGAGGATGAGGTCCACCCCGTAGACGGGGTCCAACCTCCAGTAGCCGTACAGGATCTCCTTGAAGTCTATCACTCTGCCCCTTTGCTTGGAGAACGAGTTGATCAGTTGCATTATCTGGAAGAGAGGGGTCGATTTTGAGATTTATTGCCGGGAATTGGACGGGTTATTGAGAGGAAGGGTGTCTGACCTCTCTGGTGATGTCGCCCAGTCCCTCTTTCAAGGAAGACCCGATCCTCTTCCTCGGGTTGAGGTCCCTGTGGGAGTACAGGGTCTTGGATATCAGCTCCCACTCGAGAACGTCTTCTAACTTGGTGGGGGCGTACCTGTTGATGCTCGTTGGTCTGCCTGCGTAGTAGTTATGATTCAGTAAAAAATTATTTTTTTTTAATTGACAATTCTTACTCTCATTTGACATTAAATAAGTATAAAGAATCAAGAGGTTATAAATTCTTGCGAATACTTATATTATTAAATTAAAATTGCTTGGAACGTATCTACGCCTGATTAAATGCGATTAATACGTAATTTTTGACCCAAATAATTTTGATAATTTTATACTTAATTTCTCGATAAACGATTATTAAATGAAAATGATAAGAATCTGGGATACAGGCTGATATAAAGAGATTAAGAGTGCAATAAAAATATATTATAGGAAGCAGGGTATTAAAAAATCATCAAAATAAATGTCTTTTGCGCTCTTACAAAAAAAAGGAACGTTTTTGGGCATGTGATCGTATCCGTGATAATACTGCGGCTTCTACTAAGATTAAATACAATAACCCTGGATTAATCGCTCGTTAGTGTATAATTTCATAAATTAACCGAATTTTACGCACAATTAAATGCCTTAACCTTGAGGCTTGTAACTATATTATCTCTATAGCAATATATTACGTCTTATGATGCGTAATACTCAAATACTGATAATAGGCTGTTAAAAACGTTCAAAAATACAACAAAAATATGTTCAAGATGTAACTTTTTTATTTCTCGACTTAGAAGGGTGCGGTTTGGTTTGTTGGAATCCTCGGACGAAATTCTAGAGCAAGGGTCGGCAACTGGCGGACCGCGGTCCAGGACCGGACCGCGGAAGGTAAAATACTGGACCGCCAAAAATTGTTTGAAAGTATAAATTACTCAAATAAATTATTTAAAAAATGTTTTTTACGTTTAAGTTTTGTGTTTTGAGTTCTTAATGGTTAGTAAGCAGATTAAATTTGAGTCCAAATTAAAATAAAAAATAAGAAATATGAATTTTTTTCTGGACCTCGTTAAAAATTTTCAAAAGTATCCGGACCCCACCTAAAATTACTTGCCGACCCCTGATCTAGCGGATAGGACTTTTTTCGAGTAAAAATTTAATTTGCTTGGTCAAGTCTCATTAATCATTATTCTAAGTTTTAAGTCAGCTTATATAATCATAATGTCACAAAATCTAAGGTAAAAACTAAAAATTATGATGTACTTTTACATGGTGGTACATTTTGAGCACTTTTCCATACGTCTGCCGATGTTACAGAATTTATTTACAGATTTTGATACAAGGTGCAATAAATAAAATGATCATCTGTCAACAACTATATTACTGAACATTTTTACGCATTAATTTGACTAATGAGACATGTTCAGATAATTAATTGCGGATATAGATATCTACGTGAAGCAAAAAACTAATATTAATGTTTGGATATAAATCATAAACAAATGTTTGCCCACTTAGCCATTTAATGTGATTTTAAATATAATTCTCACTTAAAAAATTAATATATCTAGTCCATGGTTAAGAAACAGGCCTCTTGATGCCTATGAGACGTTAAAGATTTATCAAAAACAGCATTTATAATTTCTGAACATAATAAAACCTGAATATTATAAAAAGCGATAACTATGACGGGCAATTGAAATCATAATTAGTTCTAAATCATCATCCCGATTTGGCATGTATGTTTTTTTGACAAGTATGTTTAATTGTTACAACATACCAATAGTAACCCAACTTTTGTTTTTTTAATCACGTTAACATAAGGTTAATGACATTTTCTCCAATTAATGACCCAAAAATATTGTTGCCTGTTGCATTTGCCAATATACAAAATCTTCTAAACCGATTATAAAGCAGATCTATCTGACTGCCTTCATAAGAAGCAAGCGAAAGTATGATCCAACAGCATGTCGTGCATTTTAATGTAATGCATCTGGATTTTTACACCCCATTACCACCAGGTCTGTAAAAAATGTTGCATTAAGGTTAGCAACCTCCATCCTCAAACAGTGGTGTGCTCTGTGTAAGTAAATCAGATTATGTCTAGCCCACTTTCAGTACGTTGGTATGTACTATATGGGTAACGCCGATGTAAAGGAAACTTTCTTCATGTTTTCAGATAATAATACATACCTTTGTTGTGTAAACACTGTTTGTTTGTCTTGAGCAGATCCAGATTAAATCCTATCTTAAGACTTTTTATTACGCATATAGTAATTACTACAACTAAAGGTGCACTCTATACCATAAGTTCGTTGTACAAACAGAATAGTTAACTATGATATTTGTTATACTTTATGTAAATAACTTTTAAGAAATTACATTGAGTAAATGGTATTTTTATAAAAAGTTCTCCATATCGATATCAAGAGGAAAATCACGCTGAATTTGAATCCTGCAAAAATAAGTATTGTTGTATATTGTTGGGCTCTTTGAAATGTAATACATAATATAAATCAACAATATTTGTGCCAAAACTTTTCTTTGAAACCAAAACCTTATTTCAGTGTTTATAAACACCGAAATCAACCAAACATCTCGCCACAAAGCAGCTTTACAAACACCACGATTGTAAACTCGTGTCATTACTGGTACGAAGAATTCGTATTAGGAGAGACGTTTGCCTTTCCTTTTTAAGAATACGAAACGTTATGACGTTATGACTGGAGTCACTGAAGGCGAAAATAAAGTAAAAGCTCCCAATTTTTTCGGATAGCATTGAATTTTCCTGAAAATTTGCATACAAGCTCATCTGACCCCCAACTTCAAAAGTTATGTTGTCTAGATGTGTGCTTTTTTCTATTTGGGGGTGAAAACTACCCTTGTACGAAAAAAATGCGATAATCGCAGATTTACGTATTTTAAAGATTCAATTCTTGTTCAAATATGTTGGATAAAGTTCCCTTCATGTTTTTTAATATAATTTATGAAATTTAATTACTTTTCCCTTCGTTTTTTGATTTGTAAGCTAAGAGGGCTCAGGAAAGGCAGTCTTGGAGCTTAGTTTTGAGTTTTTAACGATTATAACCCAGTCAAATTTTGTCCCACAAAAATTTAAAGAAGCAAATTGTTCAATAAGAAAAAACTTAAAATTTCTTATTCTATCATTTTTTTTATAACTTTGTTAGTTCTTGAAATATTTTGAAAGTAGGCGATTTTTTAAAAAAATAAAAATTTTATTCAAAAGTAAGCAAATTAATTTTTTTTTAAATTTAAGCTTCTAAAATCGTTAAAATTCCCAAAATCTACTGTTACTACATAAATAAAGTAAATTGCAGAAGGAATACGTTTAATTTTTTTTCCGTCAAGTCATTAATTTTAATACCGATTTTTTTTTCTCAAAAATCAAGACAATCATTTTATTTTGATTGTAACTTCATTAGTTTTCATGCTAACGACTTCTACCACCACTCAATTTAAAGGTCTTTTCAAGAACTTTAATAAGTGTTATATAAGTTTTCCTCGAAAAACCTTTAATTTTTCCGCTACAGGACGTTGAACGTTTCGATTATAGCTATCTTCGAAATTGACTTCAACTTCTGGGAGTCATAACTCGGGTTCTATACCATCTACAAAAATAAAAAAGCAATCTCTTTGCTATTTAATTACCTTCATTTTCGCTTATGATAATTTTTTTGATAAAACTTGTAGTGTTTGAGATATTCGCGAAAAATGGCTCAAAAACAAGCATTTTTTGGGCTAAAAACGAACATGTTTAGGCGCAAATAACTCAAAAGAGTATTGAATGTACAAATAAATCTTATAGAACATTTTTTGCTTAGATTTCGTCCCTGTATCGAATCGTGAAGTTATTTTTAACAAAAAAATTCCCACCCTCCAGAAGGGATGGCATCCACCCCTAGGGTAAAAGCACACATCGGCACTATATAACTTTTGTTTCTTGGGCTATTCCCTAGCTACAGTTCAAATTTCACGTCAATCCGTTCCATCCGAAAAAATTGGTAGCCAAAATGCTTCAGGGACTGGACTAATAGTTCCATAGCGACGAGTAAACAGCCTAGCCCCGAGACATTGTTTGCTTTAATTGTAGGACTGGTGTGATTGCTGTCTCCTGTTCTGCTCGAGAAGATGACGATTAACATCACAAAAGGTCTCTCGTTGCTCTTTTGCAATTAGTGATGCCGATTGTTCTTGTGCAAAGAGTGGTTGTTTACAAAACTAGTAAGTGATTTGTGATATATTTCCTTAATATACCATATTCCGAAAACGCTTAGTTTCCGATCTACAGGGTGTTGAAGTTTAATAAAAAAATACAAATTTACAAATATTGTGGAAACCGTCCAGAATATTTTAATAAAATTTTACAAGCGTTGACAGTTAACAACAATACATGTTTTCGAATTTCTGTTTAGATGTGAATATGAATGTGTTCCTGATAGTGAATAGTGAATCTAAAAACTGATAAAAATTTTTTAGACTGATGTTGTTAACTGCGAGGAATAATGATTTTTTGTAATAAAATTGGTACAAAAAAAAGTTGTGTGCATAATTTCTGCTTTTTTTCAAATTATTGAAATCGGATTATGCCATGCAATAAATCGTTTTTAATTTTTTTACTTGCAAATTGAACAAGGAATTGAAAAATAATTTTTATTTTAAGAAAAATCAGCGGCGTATAATTTTTTTCTTTAAAAATATCCAAAGACGTGCATGTGCGCACGCTACTGATGAAACTAAAAACAATATTTTTATCGTAAAACATGTATTGTTGTTAATTGTCAAAGCTTGTAAAATTTCATTGAAATATTCTGAGCGGTTTCCGCAATATTTATAAATTTGCATTTTGTTATTGAAACTTTATCATCCTGTAGATCAGAAACTAAGAGAACGTAGCTAGCCAAAATTTTTTATATAAGTGTACAGGGTGTTCAAAATTACATAAGCCTGTATTAACCTGGTGTTAGGACCCCTTAAAAGAAGAGGAAAAGTTCCAACATGTTTTTATCAAAACAAAAATAAAGATTCTTTTCTTGTACCCAACAAAAAATATTTTCTTATAAATTTCCTTTATTTTCGCTCCCATAACCGCATTCGAAAAAAATTTTCAGTATCTTAAGACACTTACAGCGTCACCGTGGGCAGAGGCGTCTTGGGCACCGCCGCCAGGTCCAGCTTCATACACCGGACCG